CTAAGTGAAAGAAGCCAATCACAAAAAAACCCACATATTGCATGATTCAATTTATATGAAATGTCCAGACTAGGCAAATTCATAGAGATAGAAAGTAGATTTATGTTTGCCCAGAATTGGGGGGAGGGGATGCATAATGAGGGGGGACTGCTCATGGGTACAGGGTTTCTTTCTGGGATGATGAAGATGTTCTAAAAATAGACAGTGGTGGTAGTTACACAATAGTGAATATACTAAAAACCACCGAATTGAATACTCTAAAAGAGACAATTTTATGGTATATGAATTAGATCTCAAAAAAGCTATTATTTAAAAAATTTACTAGGAATTCCCTGGCGGCCCAGTGGTTAGGACTCCATGCTCTCATTGCCGAGGGCCTGGGTTTGATCCCTGGTTGGGGAACTAAGACCCCACAAGCCACGTGACGTGGCCAAAACAAAAAAATTACTATCAGTCCTTGAAGAAACTATTGGAGACTTCTCTTTAGTTAGTGCCAATTCCACTTCTTACCTGAGTACAGATAAACTGGGGTTCTGGCTGAAACTTGTCTTTTCTGCCATCTTCTATGCCACAATTCTAGCCCCACAGAAGTTCTTGGTAAACTTCTACCTTTAGGTTACCAAGCTCTCTCCTGATTCCATGCCCCTTTCTTTATCTGCATTGTCCATTTCACCTGGTCACCTGCTACCATGCTTCATATATCAGCCATCCCTGGCTCCTGGGACAGTATTGGGGGTCCCGGGGGTTCCCTTTTTACTGCCATTCCATTGAATTGTGTTGGTTTGTTCCTTGGTGCTGTGTCCTTCGCTATGCTATACACTCCCTGAGGACAGTGGAGGTACTCATTCTGTTGACCCTTATATGCCAACATAATCTTGGTCATCACTGAATGAATGAATGAATGAGTGAGTGAGTGAATATATGCTTGAAAAGAACAAGTATCTGAATGGAGTGGAAAGATACAGAGGATAAGAAAGAATAGAGGAAAGGAAGAAGGGAGAATTTGGATTAAACTTATATTCTCATGTACCTACTTTTTTTCCCTATTGCCTGAGAAATGTGGATTTCTCAGCCCTATAGCCACATTGACCATTTGAGCTGCTCAGATTCCAGAATGGCTTCTCAGTTTCCTATGAATCAAACCAAAACCTTTGGCCTTTCAAAGAACACCCGAACCTTGTTTTTCCACTCTTTGGCTCAGAAATACAAAGTTGGGAATCTAGCTAAAGAAAATGACAATAACAAGCACCTGAATACAGAGAGGGATGTGGCGTGGACCCTAAAAATAGACACACATTGTATATAATACAATCTGGCATTGTTCATAGTAGTCAAAAACCTAAATGTCCACCAGCAGCCTGGTGTATGTCATGTCATGTCCCAAAGATGGAATAATATGCACCCATTAGAAGAATTTCATGATCTGGGAAAATCATTGTATCGTAATAGTAAGTGAAAAAAGCAGGTTATAAACTGGTGGGTTACAAACCTATCACCAATATGTAAACTGTGCATAGGGAAAATTTTTAAATTCAGGAAAAACCACACCAGGATGATTTCAGGGGTTTTCTTTCGGTAGTGGGACTCTGGGTGCCTTTCTCGTTTCTTTTTTTAACATAACGAGGTGCTCTACAGTGAACATATATGACTTTTATAATCAGAGAAAACAACCCCCCCTAATTCACTCACTCTTT